GCTGTTGCTATTTGCTTTTCCAAGCGAACGGTCGACATGAATATTTACGTCAGGGTTTTGTTACATGTTCAGCGTTCACCCGACTTGTTAGTTCATCACAACACAGTATCCTTCAACAGGGTAGTTCCACTGATTCCTTCGACAAAGAACGCTCAGGAAAGCGCTCAAACAATCATAACATTCCGTGCAAAGTGTCCAGAATTTTCGCTTTGCTCCATCGAAGCGAATCAACCTTCCTGGCGCGTGAAGTTCTTTTTCCCACTTCTGGACAGTGATCAGATTCACTGACATGTTGGCCACATGGGACTAAGAACCATCTTCTTCAACTGTGTCTTGTCGAACAGAAACAAACTGAATTGAGCTTGACAGTGAAAGAAGAAAGGAGAACTTCAGGGAAAGTTGCCGCCGTGCAGTGTACCATGGTGTACAAAACTTCCAAAGACTGCAGTGCTAGTGCAGTGGCGAAAATCATACAGAGCACGATCCGCGACCCTCGCCCGCGTGCGCACTAAACAGGACAGGCCAGTTGGTTGGAGTAGTAATATACTACTCCCTAGTCAGTAGTGAGAGTAACACGTAAACTGCACACAATCAGTACAGAATGTTCTTTGTACATACCCGTATGCATGGCCAGTGCATCGCAGTAATCGGCGATAAAAAACGAAAAGCGAATCGCAGCCAGTGAATTTTGATTCGCAAACTGCGATGCGAACCCTGGCTATGATGTTCTAGCATTTGTGTGCTTTGGATAATACGTGTGTATACCCAATCACTGCTGCAGCATGCAATTGCTTGAATCACGGTCAGTGTACTGAAGATGGCACCTGCAACTGCCGGAAAGGATTCCACGGAGACAAGTGCCAGCATAGTAAGTGAAGTGAATACGCATGCTTCTTAGGGCGCGTTTGGTTGGTATGACCTAGAACAGGATTCACCAGAACAGCGTGTTTGGTTGGTACTGCACCTGTTCTCGGTCAACCAGAACATGTTCTGCTTGCTCTGGCCTCAAGGCCGGAGCAGACCGAGCAGTTTCACTTTTCACATTAAAACCTGGCAGGAACATCGATTTTGGTCCCAAATGATCACGTGCATACGTTTTTTGGGTTGAATTCGTTGTACGAACAAAGTGACCTTGTTGACCCATAAACATTTTGAAGAATGCACCAAGTTTGGCACATTTTTCTCAAAAATGTGCTCTGTTTCTCGAGTACCGTTTGGTTGGCATGAGGCTGCTCCATGTGCACCAGCTGTTGGATCCTGTTCTAGTTTATACCAACCAAACACACCCTTTACTGTTAGAGTAACATGAGTATGTCAAATACTGAATCCCTCTCTTGAAAATTTGAAATGAGCGAGTTGTTGTTTCGCAAAAACTACTGTCAGTAGTATGACCCCCAACATGTAATAATTACTTGTCCCTACTTAGCAGAATAACACAGTAGTTGCGAGTATTTCCCGAACTAGGCTGCAAGCAAGACTACAATCATGCGTATCCGGTGTACTACGTTTGGTTTTGCAAGAGTGTAGGCGCTTTTTTGCTACAGATGCCGCTGTGAAATGTTAAAATTTTGAATGGTCGCACTAAAATACTGCCTTTATGATCCATAATTTTCTCAAATCTAGGCTGCTCATTATACTCCGATTATACTTTGAATGTCGAAACCTTGGGTCAAAGGAGAGGGGGGGGGGGAATTATGCTCGGGTGCGCATTATACTCCGACAAATGGGGTATGTACTTGAAATGGACCACGGTATCCCTAGGCAGGAAGTATATATTTTGTTAGAGTGTGTTGCAACTGTGCTCTCCTGTACCTGAATATGTTTTGCATATGCACTGTATTCTGTTCAGCTTTCCAAACGAATTGCCTGGGTACAGACAAGGCAGTGTACACCTGGACGGCTCTCGCCAGCTTGCCTTGTTATCCACAACTCGACGAGGCCAGCTGCCAGAAGAAGACGAACTTTACGAACGCCCGCCAGATGTGCAGAAGAAGAGGCTACGACTTGGTTGACTATCGTGCCTTCACCATCCTAAAGCTTGGCGTGCGCTACTGCATGGAAGCATTGCTCAACGAGATGATAGCGAGCAGTTACAGCAGCCCCATCACAATATGGACATCGGTCAAGAGTAATGGCCAGTATACCATTTACAAGCAGCGCAAGAACGGATTAAGAGAAGCATTTCATGATAGACATGGAACAAGCCATCATGATGTCATCTGCGAAGGTAGGCCATTGCATTGTGATCAAAGAAACGTGTGAGAGAGATGCTGAGTAGCAAGCAATGAATGGATAGGGTCGAAAACGATTTCGAAGAGATTAAAGGACTGAAACAGAGAGGCGACGGCAATAGTGAGTACAATCTGGGTTTCCCATTGTAGGTGTGCAGATTTTGCCCGATACCTGTACCTGGTTATGTCAAGGGGGTAAAAATATACCGCTGACCTTTCTATTTGATAGGGTTTTATTGAGCACTGCATAAAATAATAGATTTTGGGTCACCCTTTATTCAGATTTATTGCTTTATTTTTATTGTACATCTTCTCTAACCACGACTGTTTGTGGCCTTGTCTTGCAGCCAAGTGGGTCCACATCAACGACTCAGTATACGCCGCTGCAACAACAGCAATCACAACCATTATCACTGAGCAGTTTGCAGAGGAGGCATGTCAGCAGTACGGACTTCACCTCATAACCGAGGACTGGCTGCAAACACATCACAGTGTATTATTTCGAGAGCCCTGGTTAAAGAAGTTGGCTATTCTTCATAAGCCTCAGAACGCACCTTTCCACGTGAAACCAATCCGGGTGAACGGCCGCTTTCTTTACAGAACCGTAACATCTAGACAGCCAAAAAGTCTGATGTATCAAAACACCACAAGCACTACGCGAGCCCGAATCCTCTGTGTCAGTAAGTGAGAGGATAAGAATATCCAGTGCCAACATGTCCTGTTCCAACATGTCCTATCCCAATATGTCCTGTTCACCAACATGTCCTGTCTCAACATGTCCTGTTCACCAACTTGTCCTGTTCACCAACATGTCCTGTTCACCAACATGTCCTGTCTCAACATGTCCTGTGCATCAAACTGTCCTGTGCCAACATGTCCTTGCAGCACAGTTAGTGCTGTTACTCTCTCCCCCTGGCCCCCGCATATCATTGCATTTATGGCGCATGCCCCTGATTATATGTAGTTATACCTAACAAAGAAACCTACTTTGACTGTCATCTTTTGTCGGAGCATGCAAGGATTCACGTACAGAAAGAAAACTGTTCCGTAAGGTGACATAACAATTTGGCGACGAAGATGCCTCTAACGAAGATTGACTTTTTTGGATTAGGCTGTGTTTACATGAGGCGTTTCAGCCCGGGTTGAGTTTGATCCGGTTCAGATTTCAACCCGCCATGCGCACACAATGAATGGCGTGTTTACATGACGCATTGCGCTTGACCAGGGTGGAAATTTCGCCCCGGGTTGATTTCAACCTGGGTCAAAGATATTGTACTACGTACTTCTGTGCGTATCTCGCGCCAGGTTTGAACATCACTGCACATGCAAATTCCGCAGGGAACGGACTCACGTGACCATACAGGACTCTAGAAGTGGAATTTTGGCGGCATATCAGTATTTGACCCGGGTCAACTGTCTTCATGTAAACGCTCACCTATATTGTCTAACGTACAGACTTTCAACACGGGCTGAACTCGACACGGGTTGAAATTTCTCATTTAAACACAGCCTTAGGGGCGTTCGTTTTTGATCTACAGGTTTGGGTAGAAACTACTTCTTTCGGTAGAGGTGTTCGTGTTTTGAAAAAAAATTCTACTCAAAAGGGTAGATTCTACTTTCCTCTGCCGGCTCTACCGGGAAAAAGTTGGTAGAATCCGGTAGAAGTTGGTAGACCTACGGAATTTCCAGCAAGATCAAGGATTTTTATACAACTCCATAAAAAAGAAACATTTCACGTACACATCGTGTAAACTTTTAGATCTGGTAGAACAGCGTTCGTACACTTGCCTCTGCCATCTACCTCTATCGGTAGAGTGACTCTACTCTACTCCATCAGGTAGCTAAAAACGAACGCAGCCCAAGCCATCATTTAGGGTTTTCGAAATTCTTTTTTCAGATTCTGTCAGAGTGCAATGCAATTGACTTTTTGCTTTCTTTTTTTTTGCACAGAGTTCTGTGAGAGCGGTGTTCTTGCGTCAAACCTGACTTGTGTGTGTAACCGTACAACATCGTATGGAGAATATTGTGAAAAGGGTAAGACAGCAAGTCGTTAAGTTCTTTGTGTGTGTGTGTGTGTGTGTGTGTGTGTTTGTATGTGTGTGTGATGCTGTGAAGTCAGCTGCCGTCCATGTGGCTGGGGAGGTGGTTGGCCAAGACAAGCGGCGTGTACCGGACTCGTTTCGTGATAGTACCCCGGCACTGGAGCCCCTACTAGCATCCCGTAATCGGCTTTACGACCTGTGGCTCAGAACTGGCAATCAGAATGACCACAGGGCTTTCAAGGAGGCTCGTGGCCAGGCTCGGGCTGGTATACGTCAGGCAAAGACCAACTGGTTAATGGAAAAAGCGGCGGTGGTGCAACGGGGACGTTTCAGCGGCAATCATGTGTGGTCTGCCATCCGAGATATGCAGCACTATTGGCTACAGCCAATATCTGTACAGGCTATCCGCAACACTCGCGGAGACGTCTGTGGATCTGTGCAAGAGCAGAGGGGCACATGGCACAGGCATTTCTCGGGTGTTTTGAATGGCTGCCTTACTTACGATGCAAATGCCCCAACGGGAGATCATGCACTCGCTAACGCAGCCACTGTCGGGAGAGGAGTTGACCCAAGCTCTGAGACATCTGAAGAACGGCAAGGCAGGTGGCATGTCCCAGATCCCATGTTGAACTGGAAACTTTGTGTGGTCAAATTTCAAAATATCCACTACTCGTTGAGTAACGTCTCATGCATTATCTCTGTATCACGTCTTGTTTGTGCGTATGCGATGGCTGCTGCAGCGTGCAAGTGTTTAAACCGGGGTCAGTGTGACGACAAGGGTAAATGCACCTGCCCGGAGGGAGTCAGGGGGAACCATTGCCAATACGGTAAGTAGAAGTGAATTCGGTTTATTTATGGTGTGTATAGAATTTTCAAAGCACAACTCCATGAGAACGTGGCCTCCCTACCATGCGTGTAGGCTTAGGAGCTGCTTCGAGTGGCCCTGTGTAGGCTTCATGGTAGTTTCGATTAGGAGTGAAAGTAACAAGAAAACCTTTCCATCAAATGTAGCTTGTATTTGTACCGAATGTCTACCACCAAGCAACATTTTCTTTCCTTACCAACTTGGTTAGAGATACCTGGCCTCCACCCTCTGTCAGGTTCTCCCAACCTGTCCAATGACTAGCTGTCGATGGTATGATTTCATTTTGGCTTCAGCATCGCGTGTTATCTGCTTTTCAGCGTTTCACAAAGACTCAAACCCAGACTCGAAGACTCCAAATGTTGTTATCGCTCCACTTCCTTGAGCTGGCTACTGGTTCACAGTTCAAATTATCCTGTATTTTTGTCTATCCATTCTTGTGTCTGGCTATGTTGCTCTTTCGCTTCTGTTCTCTTCTATGTGTGATATGTGATGCAGTTGTGTGCACACATCCCTGGGTGAAAAAGAACAAAGTATGCGAATGTCAAACCAGACTAGATGGACCTTACTGCAGGGAAGGTAAGGGTTAAAGAAAACTGCTGTAAGCCTGCATGTCTTATCTTGTATGACCCATGGTTACATGGATGCTGGAAGTTATTTTTCCAGACAAGAATAGTACTTCCCAGTTTCTATGTCGAGGTTTGCAGCTTAATCCGACTTCAAGTGGCTGAAATTTTTGTTCTATTCATGTTCAAGAAACGATACGTACGAGTATGATTTGGATATACGTGGGATTGGTGAATGAGTGTTTCAAATGCCTATGTGGAGGTGCAGACAATCTCATGATAATCAAGATATATGCATAGACGTCTTGAGAATCCAATATGCTATGATGTTCTATTTCCATTTGTGTGCTTTGGATAATACGTGTGTATACCCAATCACTGCTGCAGTATGCAATTGCTTGAATCACGGTCAGTGTACTGAAGATGGCACCTGCAACTGCCGGAAAGGATTCCACGGAGACAAGTGTCAGCATAGTAAGTGAAGTGAATACGCATCCTTCTTAGGGTGCGTTTGGTTGGTATGACCTAGAACAGGATTCACTAGAAAAGCGTGTTTGGTTCGGACTGCACCTGTTCTGGGTCGACCAGAACATGTTCTGCTTGCGCCCCCCTTGAGGCCGAAGCAGACCGAGCACTTTAACTTTTTCACAGTAAAACCTGGCAGGAACATTGATTTTGGTCCCAAAATGATCACGTGCATACATTTTTTTTTCGGTTGAACTCGTTGTACCGTACAAAGTGACCATGGTGACTCATAAGCATGTTGAAGAATGAACAAAGTTTGGCACATTTTTCACAAAAAAAATGTGCTCTGTTTCTGGAGTACCGTTTGGTTGGCATGAGGCTGCTCCATGTGCACCAGCTGTTCGATTCTGTTCTAGTTTGTACCAACCAAACACACCATTTACTGTTAGGGTAATATGAGTATGTCCAATACTCAATCCCTCTCTTGAAAATTTGAAATGAGCGAGTCGTTGTTTCGCAAAAACTACTGTCAGTAGTATGACCCCCAACATGTAATAATTACTTGCCCCTACTTAGCAGAATAACACAGTAGTTGCGAGTATTTCCCGAACTAGGCTGCAAGCAAGACTACAATCATGCGTATCCGGTGTACTACGTTTGGTTTTGCAAGAGTGTAGGCGTGCATTGTTTTATGTCTGGTCAATAGAATACTCGTATTCAGTCGAATACTCGCTAGTTTTCTCAAATAGTACTCGAGTCGATGATTATGGCACACAGTTCACCCATACCGCTTTTTTGCTACAGATGCTGGTGTGAAATGTTAAAATTTTGAATGGTCGCACTAAAATACTGCCTTTATGATCCATAATTATCTCAAATCTAGGCTGCTCATTATACTCCGATTATACCTTGAATGTCCAAACCTTGGGTCAAAGGAGAGGGGGGGGGGGGGTAAATTATGCTCGGGTGCCCATTATACTCCGACAAATGGGGTATGTACTTGAAATGGACCACAGTATCCCTAGGCAGGAAGTATATATTTTGTTAGAGTGTGTTGCAACTGTGCTCTACTGTACCTGAATATGTTTTGCATATGCACTGTATTCTGTTCAGCTTTCCAAACGAACTGCCTGGGTACAGACAAGGCAGTGTACACCTGGACGGCTCTCGCCAGCTTGCCTTGTTATCCACAACTCGACGAGGCCAGCTGCCAGAAGAAGGCGAACTATACGAACGCCCACTATATGTGCAGGAGAAGAGGCTACAACTTGGTTGACTTTCATGCCTTCACCATCCTAACGCTTGGAGTGCGCTACTGCATGGAAGCATTGCTCAACGAGATGATAGCGAGCAGTTACAGCAGCCCTATCACAATATGGACATCGTACAAGAGGAAAGGCCAGTATACCATTTACAAGCAGGGCAAGAACGACTTAAGAGAAGAATTACATGATAGTCATGGAACAAGCCATCATGATGTCATCTGCGAAGGTAGGCCATTGCATTGTGATCAAAGGAACGTGTGAGAGAGATGCTGAGTAGCCAGCAAAGAATGGATAGGGTCGAAAATGATTTTGAAGAGATTAGAGGACTGAAACAGAGAGGCGACGGCAATAGTGAGTACAATCTGGGTTTCCCAATGTAGGCCTGCAGATATTGCCCGATACCTGTACCTGGTTATGTTAAGGGGGTAAAAATATACCGCTGACCTTTCTATTTGATAGGGTTTTATTGAGCATGGCATAAAATAATAGATTTTGGGTCACCCTTTATTCAGATTTATTGCATAATTTTTATTGTACATCTTCTCTAACCACGACTGTTTGTGGCCTTGTCTTGCAGCCAAGTGGGTCCACATCAACGACTCAGTATACGCCGCTGCAACAACAGCAATCACAACCATTATCACTGAGCAGTTTGCAGAGGAGGCATGTCAGCAGTACGGACTTCACCTCATAACCGAGGACTGGCTGCAAACACATCACAGTGTATTATTTCGAGAGCCCTGGCTAAAGAAGTTGGCTATTCTTCATAAGCCTCGGAACGCACCTTTCCATGTGAAACCAATCCGGGTGAACGGCCGCTCCCTTTACAGAACCGTAAAATTTAGACAGCCAAAAAGTCTGATTTATCAAAACACCACAAGCACTACGCGAGCCCTAATCCTCTGTGTCAGTAAGTGAGAGGATAAGAATATCCAGTGCCAACATGTCCTGTTCCAACATGTCCTATCCCAACATGTCCTGTCTCAACATGTCCTGTGCATCAAACTGTCCTGTGCCAACATGTCCTGACAGCACAGTTTGTGCTGTTACTCTCTCCCCCTGGCCCCCGCATATCATTGCATTTATGGCGCATGCCCGGGATTGATTGTAGTTGTACCTAACAAAGAAACCTACTTTGACTGTGATCTTTGTTGGAGCATGCAAGGATTCAAGTACAGAAAGAATACTGGACCATAAGGTGACATAACAATTTGGCGACGAAGATGTCTCTAACGAAGTTTGACTTTTTTGGATTAGGCTGTGTTTACATGAGGCGTTTCAACCCGGGTTGAGTTCGACCCGGTTCAGATTTCAACCCGCCATGCGCACACAATGAATGGCGTGTTTACATGACGCATTGCGCTTGACCAGGGTTGAAATTTCGCCCCGGGTTGATTTCAACCTGGGTCAAAGATGTTGTACTACGTACTTCTGTGCGTTTCTCGCGCCAGGTTTGAACAGCACTGCACATGCAAGTTCCGCAGGGAAAGGACTCACGTGACCATACAGGACTCTAGAAGTGGAATTTTGGCTTCATATCAGTATTTGACCCGGGTCAACTGTCTTCATGTAAACGCTCACCTATTTTGTCTATCGTACAGACTTTCAACCCGGGCTGAACTCGACACGGTTTGAAATTTCTCATGTAAACACAGTCTTAGGGGCGTTCGTTTTTGATCTACAGGTTCGGGTAGAAACTACTTCTTTCGGTAGGGGTGTTCGTGTTTTTGAAAAAAAATTCTACTCAAAAGAGTAGATTCTACTTTCCTCTACCGACTCTACCGGCAAAAAGTTGGTAGAATCCGGTAGAAGTTGGTAGACCTACGGGATTTCCAGCAAGATCAAGGATTTTTATACAACTCCATAAAAAAAGAAACATTTCACGTACACATCGTGTAAACTACTAGTTGTGGTAGAACAGCGTTCGTACACTTGCCTCTACCATCTACCTCTATCGGTAGAGTGACTCTACTCTACTCTACCAGGAAGCTAAAAACTAACGCAGCCCAAGCCATCATTTAGGGTTTTCCACATTCTATTGTCAGATTCTGTCAGAGTGCAATGCAATTGACTTTTTGCTTCCTTTTTTTGCACAGAGTTCTGTGAGAGCGGTGTTCTTGCGCCAAACCTGACTTGTATGTGTAACCATACCACATCGTACGGAGAATATTGTGAAAAGGGTAAGACAGCAAGTCGTTAAGTTCTTTGTGTGTGTGTGTGTGTGTGTGTGTGTGTGTGTATTTGTGTGTGTGTGTGTGTGTGTGTGTGTGTGTGTGTGTGTGGATGTGTGTGTGTGTGTGTGTGTGTGTGTGTGTGGGTGTGTGTGTGTGATGCTGTGCAGTCGGCTGCCGTCGATGTGGCTGGGGAGGTGGTTGGCCGAGACAAGCGGAGTGTACCGGACTCGTTTCGTGATAGTGCCCCGGCACTGGAGCCCCTACTAGCATCCCGTAATCGGCTTTACGACCTGTGGGTCAGAACTGGCAATCAGAATGACCACAGGGCTTTCAAGGAGGCTCGTGGCCAGGCTCGGGCTGGTATACGTCAGGCAAAGACCAACTGGTTAATAGAAAAAGCGGCAGTGGTGCAACGGGGACGTTTCAGCGGCAATCATGTGTGGTCTGCCATCCGAGATATGCAGCACTATTGGCTAAAGCCAATATCTGTACAGGCTATCCGCAACACTCGCGGAGACGTCTGTGGATCTGTGCAAGAGCAGAGGGGCACATGGCACAGGCATTTCTCGGGTGTTTTGAATGGCTGCATTACTTACGATGCAGAGGTATTCCAGCAAATTACCCAGCGGGAGATCATGCACTCGCTAACGCAGCCACTGTCGGGAGAGAAGTTGACCCATGATCTGAGACATCTGAAGAACGGCAAGGCTGGTGGCATGTCCTAGATCCCAGATTGAACTGGAAACTTGTTGTGGTCAAATTGCAATATTTCCATAACTCGTTGAGTAACATCTCATGCATTATCTCTGTATCACGTCTTGTTTGTGCATATGCGATGGCTGCTGCAGCGTGCAAGTGTTTGAACCAGGGTCAGTGTGACGACAAGGGTAAATGCACCTGCCCGGAGGGAGTCAGGGGGAACCATTGCCAATACGGTAAGTAGAAGTGAACTCGGTTTATTTACGGTGTGTATCGAATTTTCAAAGCACAACTCCATGAGAAAGTGGCCTCCCTACCATGCGTGTAGGCTTAGGAGCTGCTTCGAGTGGCCCTGTGTAGGCTTCATGGTAGTTTCGATTAGGAGTGAAAGTAACAAGAAAACCTTTCCATCAAATGTAGCTTGTATTTGTACCGAATGTGTACCACTAAGCAACAATTTCTTTCCATACCAACTTGGCAAGAGATAGCTGGCCTCCAACCTCTGTCAGGTTCTCCCAACCTGTCCAATGACTAGCTGGAGATGGTATGATTTCATTTGGCTTCAACACCGCGTGTAATCTGCTTTTCAGCGTTTCAAAGACTCAAACGCAGACTCGAAGACTCCAAATGTTGTTATCGCTGCTCTTCCTTGAGTTGGCTGCTGGTTCACAGTTCAAATTATCCTGTATTTTTGTCCATCCATTCTTGTGTCTGGCTATGTTGCTCTTTCGCTTCTGTTCTCTTCTATGTGTGATATGTGATGCAGTTGTGTGCACACATCCCTGGGTGAAAAAGAACAAAGTATGCGAATGTCAAACCAGACTAGATGGACCTTACTGCAGGGAAGGTAAGGGTTAAAGAAAACTGCTGTAATGTAAGCCTGCATGTCTTATCTTGTATGACCCATGGTTACATGGATGCTGGAAGTTATTTTTCCAGACAAGAATAGTACTTCCCAGTTTCTATGCCGAGGTTTGCAGCTTAATCCGAATTCATGTGGCTGAAATATTTGTTCTATTCATGTTCAAGAAGCGATACGTACGAGTATGATTTGGATATACGTGGGATTGGTGAATGAGTGTTTTAAATGCCTATGTGGAGGTGCAGACAATCTCATGATAATCAAGATATATGCATAGACGTCTTGAGAATCCAATATGCTATGATGTTCTATTTCCATTTGTGTGCTTTGGATAATACGTGTGTATACCCAATCACTGCTGCAGTATGCAATTGCTTGAATCACGGTCAGTGTACTGAAGATGGCACCTGCAACTGCCGGAAAGGATTCCACGGAGACAAGTGTCAGCATAGTAAGTGAAGTGAACACGCATGCTTCTTAGGGTGCGTTTGGTTGGTATGACCTAGAACAGGATTCACCAGAACAGCGTGTTTGGTTGGAACTGCACCTGTTCTGGGTCGACCAAAACATGTTCTGCTTGCGCCCCCCTTGAGGCCAAAGCAGACCGAGCACTTTAACTTTTTCACAGTAAAACCTGGCAGGAACATTGATTTTGGTCCCAAAATGATCACGTGCATACGTTTTTTTCGGTTGAACTCGTTGTACCGTACAAAGTGACCATGGTGACTCATAAACATGTTGAAGAATGAACAAAGTTTGGCACATTTTTCACAAAAAAATGTGCTCTGTTTCTGGAGTACCGTTTGGTTTGCATGAGGCTGCTCCATGTGCACCAGCTGTTCGATTCTGTTCTAGTTTGTACCAACCAAACACACCATTTACTGTTAGGGTAATATGAGTATGTCCAATACTCAATCCCTCTCTTGAAAATTTGAAATGAGCGAGTTGTTGTTTCGCAAAAACTACTGTCAGTAGTATGACCCCCAACATGTAATAATTACTTGTGCCTACTTAGCAGAATAACACAGTAGTTGCGAGTATTTCCCGAACTAGGCTGCAAGCAAGACTACAATCATGCGTACCCGGTGTACTACGTTTGGTTTTGCAAGAGTGTAGGCGTGCATTGTTTTATGTCTGGTCAATAGAATACTCGTATTCAGTCGAATACTCGCTAGTTTTCTCAAATAGTACTCGAGTCGATGATTATGGCACACACTTCACCCATACCGCTTTTTTGCTACAGATGCTGGTGTGAAATGTTAAAATTTTGAATGGTCGCACTAAAATACTGCCTTTATGATCCATAATTATCTCAAATCTAGGCTGCTCATTATACTCCGATTATACCTTGAATGTCCAAACCTTGGGTCAAAGGAGAGGGGGGGGGGGGGGGGGGGTAAATTATGCTCGGGTGCGCATTATACTCCGACAAATGGGGTATGTACTTGAAATGGACCACAGTATCCCTAGGCAGGAAGTATATATTTTGTTAGAGTGTGTTGCAACTGTGCTCTACTGTACCTGAATATGTTTTGCATATGCACTGTATTCTGTTCAGCTTTCCAAACGAACTGCCTGGGTACAGACAAGGCAGTGTACACCTGGACGGCTCTCGCCAGCTTGCCTTGTTATCCACAACTCGACGAGGCCAGCTGCCAGAAGAAGGCGAACTATACGAACGCCCACTATATGTGCAGGAGAAGAGGCTACAACTTGGTTGACTTTCATGCCTTCACCATCCTAACGCTTGGAGTGCGCTACTGCATGGAAGCATTGCTCAACGAGATGATAGCGAGCAGTTACAGCAGCCCTATCACAATATGGACATCGTACAAGAGGAAAGGCCAGTATACCATTTACAAGCAGGGCAAGAACGACTTAAGAGAAGAATTACATGATAGACATGGAACAAGCCATCATGATGTCATCTGCGAAGGTAGGCCATTGCATTGTGATCAAAGGAACGTGTGAGAGAGATGCTGAGTAGTCAGCAAAGAATGGATAGGGTCGAAAATGATTTTGAAGAGATTAGAGGACTGAAACAGAGAGGCGACGGCAATAGTGAGTACAATCTGGGTTTCCCAATGTAGGCCTGCAGATATTGCCCGATACCTGTACCTGGTTATGTTAAGGGGGTAAAAATATACCGCTGAACTTTCTATTTGATAGGGTTTTATTGAGCATGGCATAAAATAATAGATTTTGGGTCACCCTTTATTCAGATTTATTGCATAATTTTTATTGTACATCTTCTCTAACCACGACTGTTTGTGGCCTTGTCTTGCAGCCAAGTGGGTCCACATCAACGACTCAGTATACGCCGCTGCAACAACAGCAATCACAACCATTATCACTGAGCAGTTTGCAGAGGAGGCATGTCAGCAGTACGGACTTCACCTCATAACCGAGGACTGGCTGCAAACACATCACAGTGTATTATTTCGAGAGCCCTGGCTAAAGAAGTTGGCTATTCTTCATAAGCCTCGGAACGCACCTTTCCACGTGAAACCAATCCGGGTGAACGGCCGCTCCCTTTACAGAACCGTAAAATTTAGACAGCCAAAAAGTCTGATTTATCAAAACACCACAAGCACTACGCGAGCCCTAATCCTCTGTGTCAGTAAGTGAGAGGATAAGAATATCCAGTGCCAACATGTCCTGTTCCAACATGTCCTATCCCAATATGTCCTGTTCACCAACATGTCCTGTCTCAACATGTCCTGTTCACCAACTTGTCCTGTTCACCAACATGTCCTGTTCACCAACATGTCCTGTCTCAACATGTCCTGTGCATCAAACTGTCCTGTGCCAACATGTCCGGACAGCACAGTTTGTGCTGTTACTCTCTCCCCCTGGCCCCCGCATATCATTGCATTTATGGCGCATGCCCGGGATTGATTGTAGTTGTACCTAACAAAGAAACCTACTTTGACTGTGATCTTTGTTGGAGCATGCAAGGATTCAAGTACAGAAAGAATACTGGACCATAAGGTGACATAACAATTTGGCGACGAAGATGTCTCTAACGAAGTTTGACTTTTTTGGATTAGGCGGTGTTTACATGAGGCGTTTCAACCCGGGTTGAGTTCGACCCGGTTCAGATTTCAACCCGCAATGCGCACACAATGTATGGCGTGTTTACATGACGCATTGCGCTTGACCAGGGTGGAAATTTCGCCCCGGGTTGATTTCAACCTGGGTCAAAGATATTGTACTACGTACTTCTGTGCGTATCTCGCGCCAGGTTTGAACAACACTGCACATGCGAATTCCGCAGGGAAAGGACTCACGTGACCATACAGGACTCTAGAAGTGGAATTTTGGCTTCATATCAGTATTTGACCCGGGTCAACTGTCTTCATGTAAACGCTCACCTATTTTGTCTATCGTACAGACTTTCAACACGGGCTGAACTCGACACGGGTTGAAATTTCTCACGTAAACACAGCCTTAGGGACGTTCGTTTTTCATCTACAGGTTTGGGTAGAAACTACTTCTTTCTGTAGAGGTGCTCGTGTTTTGAAAAAAAAATCTACTCAAAAGGGTAGATTCTACTTTCCTCTACCGGCTCTACCGGGAAAAAGTTGGTAGAATCCGGTAGAAGTTGGTAGACCTACGGGATTTCCAGCAAGATCAAGGATTTTTATACAACTCCATAAAAAAAGAAACATTTCACGTACACATCGTGTAAACTACTAGTTGTGGTAGAACAGCGTTCGTACACTTGCCTCTACCATCTACCTCTATCGGTAGAGTGACTCTACTCTACTCTACCAGGTAGCTAAAAACTAACGCAGCCCAAGCCATCATTTAGAGTTTTCCACATTCTATTGTCAGATTCTGTCAGAGTGCAATGCAATTGACTTTTTGCTTTCTTTTTTTGCACAGAGTTCTGTGAGAGCGGTGTTCTTGCGCCAAACCTGACTTGTATGTGTAACCGTACCACATCGTACGGAGAATATTGTGAAAAGGGTAAGACAGCAAGTCGTTAAGTTCTTTGTGTGTGTGTGTGTGTGTGCGTGTGTGTGTATTTGTGTGTGTGTGTGTGTGTGTGTGTGTGTGTGTGTGTGTGTGTGTGTGTGTGTGTGTGTGTGTGTGTGATGCTGTGAAGTCGGCTGCCGTCGATGTGGCTGGGAGGTGGTTGGCCGAGACAAGCGGCGTGTACCGGACTCGTTTCGTGATAGTGTCCCGGCACTGGAGCCCCTACTAGCATCCCGCAATCGGCTTTACGACCTGTGGGTCAGAACTGGCAATCAGAATGACCACAGGGCTTTCAAGGAGGCTCGTGGCCAGGCTCGGGCTGGTATACGTCAGGCAAAGACCAACTGGTTAATGGAAAAAGCGGCGGTGGTGCAACGGGGACGTTTCAGCGGCAATCATGTGTGGTCTGCCATCCGAGATATGCAGCACTATTGGCTAAAGCCAATATCTGTACAGGCTATCCGCAACACTCGCGGAGACGTCTGTGGATCTGTGCAAGAGCAGAGGGGCACATGGCACAGGCATTCCTCGGGTGGTTTGAATGGCTGCATTACTTACGATGCAGAGGTATTCCAGCAAATTACCCAGCGGGAGATCATGCACTCGGTAACGCAGCCACTGTCGGGAGAGAAGTTGACCCATGATCTGAGACATCTGAAGAACGGCAAAGCTGGTGGCATGTCCCAGATCCCAGATTGAACTGGAAACTTGTTGTGGTCAAATTGCAATATTTCCATAACTCGTTGAGTAACATCTCATGCATTATCTCTGTATCACGTCTTGTTTGTGCATATGCGATGGCTGCTGCAGCGTGCAAGTGTTTGAACCAGGGTCAGTGTGACGACAAGGGTAAATGCACCTGCCCGGAAGGAGTCAGGGGGAACCATTGCCAATACGGTAAGTAGAAGTGAACTCGGTTTATTTACGGTGTGTATCGAATTTTCAAAGCACAACTCCATGAGAAAGTGGCCTCCCTACCATGCATGTAGGCTTAGGAGCTGCTTCGAGTGGCCCTGTTTAGGCTTCATGGTAGTTTCGATTAGGAGTGAAAGTAACAAGAAAACCTTTCCATCAAATGTAGCTTGTATTTGTACCGAATGTCTACCACCAAGCAACATTTTCTTCCCTTACCAACTTGACAAGAGATACCTGGCCTCTAACCTCTGTCAGGTTCTCCCAACCTGTTTAATGACTAGCTGGAGATGGTATGATTTCATTTGTCTTCAACACTGCGTGTAATCTGCTTTTCAGCGTTTCAAAGACTCAAACGCAGACTCGAAGACTCCAAATGTTGTTATCGCTGCTCTTCCTTGAGTTGGCTGCTGGTTCACAGTTCAAATTATCCTGTATTTTTGTCTATCCATTCTTGTGTCTGGCTATGTTGCTCTTTCGCTCCTGTTCTCTTCTATGTGTGATATGTGATGCAGTTGTGTGCACACATCCCTGGGTGAAAAAGAACAAAGTATGCGAATGTCAAACCAGACTAGATGGACCTTACTGCAGGGAAGGTAAGGGTTAAAGAAAACTGCTGTAATGTAAGCCTGCATGTCTTATCTTGTATGACCCATGGTTACATGTGTTATGTTTGTATGTGCGCGTAAGCACGCTAGGCTCTGCGCATGTTTGCTTGCACGCTATGCTCTGCGCATGCGCACCCCAGTTCAGACTTCCTGTGTCTGAGTTTGTTCTTCTTTCTATCTCCCTGCTTTGCACGTCCATTATTCTCTTTGTAAATAATCCTAATACATTCCACAACTGTGTGTTCTTGTGAGTGGGAATGTAACATTGGCGACGAAGATGGAAGACGCAGCTTCCCAAGTGTCCATCCGTTGGCGGAAGTGGGTGAAGTCTTTTGAGTATTATTTAGTGGGCAAGGACATTTCGAACAAGAAGCGCTCAAGAGCATTGCTGTTGCACTTTGCGGGACCACAGGTTCAAGACATTATTGATGACCTACTTGACCCTGACGATGCTCTGCCAGAGGAGCAGAGGACCCCGAATGATAACGAGTACCTGAAATGTAAGCGAATTTTGGACGCGCATTTCGCAGCCCCAGCAAACCCTACCTACGAAAGGCATGTGTTTCGCCAGCTGGTTCCGCAAGCAGAAGAGAGTACGGCGCATTTCTGCAGCCGTTTGCGGCAGCAGGCTAGATTATGTTCCTTTGAGAACACTCGCCAGACCAATGAGGCAGTCCGAGACCAAATCGTAGCAACGGTGAGGAATGTTGACTTGAAGAAAAAATTATTGTCTGAGCCGTCGTTGTCAGTCGATCGAGCATTGGAGCTCTGTCGCGTCTGGGAGGATGCACAGTCACAGTCTCAGATGATGACTAGTCGTGCTGTTTCTGCTGGAGCTGGAGCATCGGAGTCCGCGAGTGATCATGCTGTCAGTGCAGTTACGTACAGGAGAGGCCAGCACCAGGGCAAGGCCAGGGGCCAAGGCAGACACCACCCAGCTGCTGGTACACGTGTCAGTTGTTACAGCTGCGGTCGCAAGGGACACAAATCCGGAGATGCTTCATGTCCAGCTAAGGGACAGGCATGCAGGAAGTGTGGCAAGACAGGTCATTTCGCTAAGTGCTGCAAGTCAGGATCAGCGTCGCAGACTGCCGCCCATCATGTGCGCGAAGTCACGGACTACGAGGTGTCTGATAGTTTTCGTGTTGGCCAAGTGTCAGCTGGGAAGCCAACATCGAACATGCTAATCACCACAGTGCAGATCAACGGTACTCCATTGGATTTGGAGGTGGACACCGGATCCATGTACACTTTGGTGCCGCAAGACGTATGGGAGCAACATTGGACACATGTTGCCCTGCGTGAATGTTCTGTGCGACTGAAGACCTACAATGGTTCAGTCCTGCCGATTGTTGGCGAAGCAGATGTTGATGTACGCTACAGAAAACGACATCGACACGGACTCATTCCCAAGGCCATGACTTGGCAAAGCTATCCGTGTGACTTCGACGACATTTTGAGAAAAGTAGACGCTTGTGAACGCTGATAGAAGACGGCGTTGACTGCTAAATTCAAATAAATTGCGCGGTAAATTTCTGTTCTCAGGGAGCGCGGCATCGAGTCTGGTGTGGATTTCAGCTTCTTGATTGATGGGCAGTTGTTTCCCCGTGGAGCTGGGCGACGTTGACAGTCTCAGACTGGTCATGCTGATGATTTTCATGTTGCCGATGACGGCGTCCTACTCGCAACAACTCGTGCTGCAGCCGACATCTCCCTATCCTCCTTCCGTGATGTGGCATCCAGCTTTGGCCTCGCGGTCAGCATGACGAAGACTAAGCTACTGGTCGCAGGCGATGGAGTCGCAGCCACTAATTGTTCTGGTCTGGCAGTTGGCAATGAAAGGGTTGAAGCTGTTACCTCCTTCCCCCATCTTGGATCTGTCATAACTCCGGATTCGCGAGCTCATGCCGATGTCTAGAGCCGCTTTGCGAAGGGTGCAAGGGCCTTTGGCTGTCTTCGGCGGATTTTGCATGATCAGAGCCTGAACCTGCCTTCTCGACGGCATTTGTACATGGAGTGTGTTCTCACCACAGTTTGTACGGCTCAGAGTGTTGGACCCCATTGAAGTCGGATTGGGACAAGCTGGACAGGTTCCATCACGCCAACCTACGGTCAATCCTTGGCATTTTGCGCGGCCGCCAGTGGGAGCAACACATCACATTGGAGCAACTACGCGCACAGTGGGGTGACCCTACTTTACAGAGGCGGCATGTCAGCAGTACGGACTTCACCTCATTGTCGAGCTTGGTACAGAGAAGACGCTTGGAGTGGCTTGGGCACCTAGCTCGGCTTGATGACAATCGGTTACCCAAGCAGTTGCTCTTCACTCATCTCCCACGAAACCGCCCGTTTTGCGGCCCCCGACATCGCTGGAAGGACGCTGTCCGGCCTGATCTGACTGTGGCCGGTGTGCACAATTGGTTCGAATCGGCCAACAATCGCGGAGAGTGGCGTGATATTGTGTCGGCAGCAGCGAGGGTGAAGGAGCCTGCCCTGAAGACGATTGTGTGCCACGTTTGCGACCGCCTGTTTTGTCGTCGCGCTGACATGGCCCGACACAAGTGCACAGCAGTCCGACAGCTCCCCGTACCACAACAGCCTGGGTCAGTGTAGTGTCCTGCCTGCAGCAGATGGCTCCGGAGCAGCGGTGGGCTTGCGTTGCGCAAGTGTCAAGAGAGTGACAACTGTGATGACCGACCGCCTAGTGATGCTCCTCCTGTTGCCGAGGTCCCGGTATGCTCATCCTGTTGGCCTCAAGCGCCATCGCTGTGGACCCCGCCCGAATCGCCCTACAGTGACTGATCGCCAGCACTTTGAACATCATTGCCGAGTCTGTAATCGTCGCCAGTTTCGGAGGCGACAGGACCTGGAGCGCCATTTGAAGCACTGCCTACCTCTTCCCTAACCCCTCTGACAGTACCTCCCTTCGGGAGCGCCGTGGCCATTTCTGGCACCTGTCAATAGTAGTAGTGTGTGTGTGTGTGTGTGTGTGTGTGTGCGCGCGTGTTTGTGTGTGTGTTTGTGTTTGTGCGTTTGTGTGTATGTGTGTGTGTGTGTGAGTGTGTGTGTGTGTGTGTGTGTGTGTGTGTGTGTGTGTGTGTGTGTGTGTGTGTGTGTGCATGTGTGTGTGCATGTGTGTGTGTGTGTGTGTGCGCGCGCTTGTGCGTGTGTGTGAGCACGCGCATTTAAAAAAATCTGAGAGCACTCACTTTAGAGAAGGGAAAGTACACTAACCAGACAGCAGGGAAACAGCAGAGATCTGATAGATATAACCAGCGCTAATAGCTAGATGGAGTGTGTTTTGGCTGGTCTGTGTGTCTACCGCCATTTGACACATCACATAATGTATTTCGTTCAGAATCTATTCAATAAAATCAGAACTTGAAAAGCTACTAGTGTTGAAACGATCTCACCGGATACTCGTTAGCTCGCTCGCCAGAAACTCGGCTCGTTTGTGTGGCCAGCTCGTTTGCACTAACGAACACCGTACACCGTACTCCGTACACATGGCAGTACATGTCGACCGGTGAGTCGTAAAATATTTTACGACTCCCTGGTCGATCGAGAGTCCAGTCCCGCTCAAAGTGAAAATCACTCGCAGTTACAGGTGACTGTATGCCTGCACGACACTTGAGTTGTTTCAGTTGTCGTTGCAGCTTTGGTGAACTCTACTGATGTCTTGTTCCGCATCTGCTGACCTGTCGCAGGATATGCTTCGGTCACCTCTCCATTCGAGTGAAAGTTACGCTCAGTCGTTTGGAAGTTTTCTCCCGCGATGCAGCGAAGACCAGGGCTACTTGCAATCTTTGCAAAACGGTCTATTCTTACAAAGGCTAATCGACGATGGCGCTGAAAAGACATCTCGACACCAAACAGCAGTCCGAAGTGAAGCAGCAGCAACCCCAAATGCTTGTGGCTCAATGTAGCTGAACCATCGGACCTTATTTGTCAGCTTGGATCACGTGATCCATCCAGCTGCCGCGTGCGGCAAACAGCCCAAATAGCGCTAACTCTGGCCTGCGAGCGTTTGCTGCGACTAGCGCGCTAGCGCTCGTGACATACACAAACGCGCTAGCCAGAATGCTTTGACTTTGATGGCTTTCAGCTTCTATTTTTTGAAAAGTAGCGCGCTCAGACCAGCTCGCTCACTCTTTTCCTCTTCCATTTTTTAGGGCAATTGTTTTGTTTGATAGACGAAGCTTAGGGTCTCTTTGGGTTTGCAACCCTTACCCTCCTGGAAAAAATCATAGTTGCTAGACTGCGACACTTCAGACCAGGTACTATTAGAGCCGCTAATGGACGACGAGCTATTTTCCGCTATCCGGAGCTCAAGCATTTGAGCCGCTAAATGGACGAGACTCCTGGGGTAAAGGATGCAGAGAATGAGGAGAAAACACTCGTATGGAGCAGGGAGTAGGTATTGTACTACTTCCTGGTATGGAGCACTGAGAAGCGGTAAGTCCTAGGGCAATTCTTAGCCAGTAGTTACTTTCTCGCCATAATTATGTTCTCGTTTTTCGTGTCTTCTGTAATGCCAGTACACTAGCAGTACGACTACACTGTAGGCGAGAGTCCATAAGCCAGAGTGTGCAGCTCTCCATCTATGCAGCATAAACAAATTAATGACAAATTTCCTTTGCCTAAGGGCTGGGTTCCACTGCCGCTCCGCCGCACATCATCCACGGCATGAAACGTCATTACGAGCTGGTCCAGCGAGGCCGCGGCTCATCACCAGCTTTCGCTTCGCTGCTTGATACAAAAGAATGCAAGCCGCGGTCACGGCTTGCATTGTTTCCCGCGCTTAATTGTTTTATTCGGGGGAATTTTTTAATTCTTTGCACAGGCCAGAACACGAGGATTTTTTTGGATTTCACGCGCGTGCAGGCAGGCTAAATGTCATCAAAAAGCGTCGAGCACGATCGTGGTACCGTGAATGGCGAGTGTCACTGGAACCGCGCCGCTCTGCTGCATGCAGCCAAGTACCGTGGAGCAGCGGAGCTGCGGAGCCGCAGTGGAACCCGGCCCTAACCAAACTTATTGCAATTTGAAAATGTTTGACAATTTTTCATAAAAAACTTGACAACATTGTTTTTCTGTAGAGTGCCGCTGGCAACTCCATCGATGAACTCCATCAATGAGCGCAGGGATAAAGCTTGGAAACCCTTCGAACGAGAACGTGTTTTCAAAAAGGAAGCACAAATATGCCGCGTAACTTCCCCTCTAGTATGGCCCCATCAAAGCCACTCGCTGACTACTTACCAGTAAAATGGGGTTGGACGGTTGTCAGATTAGCTGACATGTTTTCTGCCAACACAACCATAAGCAGTTGTCAACTCTCAAGACTAAAAGAGCTTGCAAAGAAAGTGAGAAACCTTGGCTATGAAAGCACATGAAGCGTCAGAACATAATCGAGCAAACTTGGACCTAGATTACCAGTGTCTGCTCCAGAGCGAGGTCAGTGGCCCTGTTTGTGAGTACTTGGACCTTTTGGAAAAAGAACACTGGGTTACCTGCGACCCGGTCGGAAGTCCTGTCGAGTACTATACTTTTTTTATACTTCGAGGGTATACCGCCACTGACAGGCTGCATACGCGTGCAGATGCGTGCGGCCAGAGTGCCCAGTGCGAGTACGTTCATACATGTACATGTACAATCATGTACATCAGGAAGTCGAAAGTAAGTTTACGACTCCCTGACACACAGTAGCCGCACTTGAACGCATCTGGCCCTGGCCCAGTGTTGCAGGAGTTGTGCCAGGTAGACGTGTACCCGGTTTGTGTTAAATCTTAGAGCAGGTACTGCATACCCTATCATATCTGTGTACATGGGTATACAGAGTCAGTGTTGTTGCGTCCCACTCAGCACCCTTCTGGTTCATTTCGGCACCAGCACTCTTTGCGTATGCAGAGCTGAGTAGAGTGCAAGTTCGGACCACAAATACACTTTAGCAGCTAGTTGCGAACCTAACCTGTGCCGTGATGCACGGCACTTGTGTGCATCTACTTTATCCCTGAGTAACCCACCAGGTATATGGTGCACAATAGGGCACAGTAAATAATCAGCATGCATCGCAGTTTTCTGCAACATACATGTATTCCTGAAGTCACTTTACACCTCAGAAGAATTGCGTCGCAAACTGTTAGTTATTCCCTAGGTCATTATGAATCGTAGAAAACCCGTCATACAATAGGTTCAAGCTAAAGTACCGTACCACCATGGTAATTACCTGGAAATTCGGTGTGTTTTCTACGTTTTTGTTAAACAAGCAGCAATGTGCCACAGAAATTACCATGGTGATAGAGTAGATGACCGTGTGAAGCGGTGTGAGATGCAGCAAAGGTGAGCCTGTTACTGCGAGTCTATGCCCTAAACAATAAACTTTGCTGTGGGATGATTCTCTTTGGGCTGCACACTCTGGTTAATGTACTCTTGGTGGCATGGTGGCAGCATTCTGGTGCCAAAGATGATATTTTTTCAGAAAAATAA